GGACTGGGCTGGCTCTGCGGGCTTCTGGGGGTGGAAGCTCTCCTGCAGCCCCCCAATTGCCCCCTCTCCCCAGATGGCAGCCTGCGGCAAGTGCAGCCGGTCTGATGGCCAAGTGCTGTGATGTGCCCAGTGTGGGCACTCAGGGCACTCCAAGCCAGGACTGCTTTGCAAGCGGGGCACCCCTGAGAACTGTCTGTCCGGGGTGGGGGTCGGGACCCTTTAAGCACAGCCCTCGGCTAGCCTGAGACAGCATCTCCACGCTCTAAGTCCTCCTCTGATGCCCTGCCGGTACTGCTTCTGGCCATCCTTAACCCCACTTTAGGGTCCACTTAATGTGGACGCGCTAGTTCGAATTAGCAAAACGCTAATTCGAACTAGTTTTTAGTTCTAGATGCGTTAGCTCGAATTAGCTTAGTTCGAATTAACTAATTCGAACTAAGTTAGTTCGAATTAGTGCTGTAGTGTAGACATACCCTTATATATCCTGGAGAATCCACAGAGAATCTTTTGTTTGTTTTCCTGAGGGTTGTGGGAAGAGGGTTCCCTTAGCCTGCTTCATGGGTCAGGGTTGTGTATCCTTCCTTACCCCGCACAACATAGTGAAGTTGAACTATCTCCAAAGAGGAATTGTCAGTAAGTCCCTTTTCTTTGTGTCCCTCCCATCTGGTTGTTGGGAGTGAGATGGAAGCTGTGGGTTGTATGGAACTGAACACTGTATTTGCTCTCTTGTATAGAATCTAAGCTCTCATTAGATTGACAAATAAAGTTCTCGCCCTTCTGAATGTGAATATATCCATTGTCTAGTGAATTAATGCAATGCTCTCTTATGGCTGTGTCTACACTGCACAGTTATTTCGGAATAAGCTATTCAGGAATAGTTATTCCGAAATAGCTTATTTCAAAATAGCAAATATACACTGCAGGGAAGCCACACAATTACTCCGAGGCAGACTTCCCTAATGTAGACATGATATCTCAATTTAGAGCCCCAGGAGGAATAACTTAGAATGGCCCTGGTGAGGGGCTATTTTGAAATAGCAGAAGTAGAGCATCTACTTAAAATACAAATTGTGACAAATTAAATATTAAGAATGTGAGCAGAGAATGGTACAAGTAGTGACTGCTATAAATAATGGAAAACAATATATGGTGTCAGTGAAAATAGGGATGGATTCAGCCAACAACGACAGGAAAATATGAAAGAAATGATTATGTAGAACCATCAAGTGGAATTCCCGAAACATAAGTTGAATGTTCCTTTTAAAAGAAACTCAGTGATAGAATAAGATAGTACTGGTGCAAATATTCTTTAATTCTTTCTACTTTCATTCTTTCTCTTTGCTAATGTTAAGAACATCAGAGGTTCTTTTAGTTTTCTAACACTTGCTGAATGGAACTTTTCAATTATGTAAGATATGGATTCGTTTTGAAGTATCTCTTCAACACACTGATAAGAGAGTATTCATTGGCAATTATTCTCTGAAGTCAGAGAGAGAAATTTTTGAACAAATACTCAATTTACTATAGGATTTTAGGCAAATTTCAGCGTGAAAGATTGGATTGGTATCTACAGATGTGTTCTGCTTCACTGTTTAGAATTAGCAATTTGATGGACTGTCGAATCACAAGGCTGCTGATGAGTCTATTCATATTGAAGAGGCAGGGTGAGATAAGCACCTGCTTGTGTACTTCAGTGAATAATTATCCACTAAGAGCAAATAGGAAGCATTTCCATCAAGTTTCAGATATTAAAATGAAAGATGCAATGACTTAGAGCCACAAAGATGATGGGGAATGGTTGGCTAAATTCCAGGAAACTAAGCATTAAAGCCTGGTTTGATTTATTTTGATCATTAGAGAAATTATTCCTCAGTGAACCACCAATAATAAAAACACATCAAAACTGAAAGACGCACTGTTACAAGCCAGTTGAGCTCCCCTGTTGGACATGCATTAAGCTATTGCAGTGGACACGGATGCCTGCTGTTGTTTGTGTGTTACACAAGGTGAATACCATTGGCGAGGGCAGTGCCACCCACAGAAGGAAAAAGGGCCATCCAGGAAGGGGAAAAAAGAGCCCTCAAACGGAGTGGGATTTCAGCCCAGTTCACAGCATCACAGTGCCACTTACTGCAGTTTGGCTGGAAAAGCTGCTCTGTCATGGTAGAATGGCCACCAGACCAAATCTGAGTAATTCTGTGGCCCCTAATGCGAAAGTGGTTTGGCTGTATGTACCACGTGAAAATTTTTAGAGCATGCTGTTTACAATGAATGCAAACCTTTGGTCTCCTGTGCTCGTGACATGTTGGGGCTAGGCACAATTGAGGCACTGTCACTCAGACTCCAGATGTCTGGGCATAAACTCCAGGGGCAGATGCCATGTCTTACACTAGTCTTGGCAGTGAGAACATTGTGGTCCAATTGCCTCGGCCCTGCAACTAGCAAAGCACTCTTAATCTTCCCCAGCAGCTGTTGCATGCTCTCCAAGTTCCACCTAAACTGTGGGCCCAGCAGTTTACTGTTTCCCTATTTGGGGCTACATGGCAGTGTAAGGAAGAGACTGAGGGATTTCTAAACACACACACATACACACACACCTTTTGTCACAGAGAAAGCATACAAGATTTACAGCTCATTCAAAAATCATCTTTGCACAAAAACTCTCTCCCCAGTGTTCTCACTGCTCCAAGGGTCCTTTAGGATTTGGTCAGTCCTTCATGGTCCCTACAACTCCTGCTCTTCCTGCCCAGTCTTCCCTTCTTGCTCTGGTTGATGACAAAAAGCTACCAAGAGAAGAACTTGTCCTTTTGTACTTTCCAGTTCCCTTTTGTCAGATAACCCACTAAGCCAGCTTCAAAGCCTCCCTTAGTTTACTGAGGTTCCCATCAGGTGATCCTTTGCTTTGTTATAAGCCCCCTGAAGTCCAGACCAGATTGTAACTTTTTTTTTCAGTCAGGCCATCCTCTGCAGCATACCCATTATGTTACCAGAACAAAGTCTTTCAAGTATAACAATACTTGATCATTCTTTGTGGTTTGCCTTCTGTTAGCACCTCTTAGAATTACCATCCAAGATGGAGGCAAAAAAAAAACAAATGGCAGAATAGAGCCTTAGAACCAAACAGTGCTCCCAATACAAAATGGAGTTTGTAGTTGGATATGGATACATTCAGACAAATAGTTAATGGCTAAACTCACACAACTGGTTATATGTTGTTTATTCTGTATGACCACTAACATCTTCACAGAGCTAACAAAATAATGAGTACAGAGAATGGCACAGAGGCCATTCAGAGAAAACGTATGGTTCTGACATGGAATAACAGGTTTATCCTTCATGAAGCCCATTAGTGTCATAGAACCTATTACCTATATATAGAAATAGTGAGCTGCTTTAACCCACAGGACATTAAAGATAATAGGATCAGGCTTAAAATGCACAAATCAACATATAAAAACACTAAGGGATAACATGAGACAGGCTAAATTCAATAATGTATCACCAAATTGAAAGGATTTTCTGTTGTTTCTATACAGAGCTAGATAATTACAAAACCTGGAAATTCAATAGTTGGTTTGAGCTAAACTTGAAAAGTTTGGATTTATTTAGTCTAATTTGAATTTCAGTATAGTTCTTTTCATTATTAATCATTCCAACATTATATTTTCATGTTTTTATATGTTGCATTTTTGTAGCTGTTCATAATCAAAAAGTGTTACCTATAGGTTTCTGTAAGTTCAGAATAGGTAGAACTTGTAATCAAAATATCCTATAATGTCATGAACCTCTATAGAAAACTTAATGTGCATTTATTATGTGTATGGCAACTGTTTTAACTAAAATTGTTTGCACTTTAAAAAGATGCCAGTGGTACATAAAGGCCAAAATGAAGTCTGAAGAAAAAAGAAGAGCTCATTTACAAAATGGACATTGTAAGTAATGCAATATTGTCTTAATTAATTCCTATGTTCATATTTTAAATGAAAGTTGTATGTTGTTTGCATTATACATTTTACCTTGATTCTGTAATCTGATCCATGTGAAAAGACCCACACTGATTTTAGGATCAAGGCCTCTCTTTTTATTTGTGCTTCCTCTTTGAAATCCAAAAGCTGATGGACATTTTCCCTTGCAAGCTTGCTCAATAGACTAAACACAAGTTTTTCAATGAACTTTTGCAATGTCAATACTTTTTATCAGTTTTCCAGGCTTGCCTATGAATTCTCAATTGCTGTGTATTATATTATTTTTCATGAAGTGATTGTCTATAGATTTTGCTACTGTGGTGCATGTACCTTACATGCATAAGATTGAATACTTTTGATTAGCAGGGCAGTCCTGCAGTCACTATTTAAATAGGAATCCTTATACCAACTTGCATGCAAAGAATACTGTTTGTTCATTACCAAGAATGAAATCTATGTGGAAATCACTCAAAAAAGAAGAGTTATTCTACCCTACAGTAGCTGTGGTTGTTTGAGATGTGTTCGCAACACAGATTTCACAATCTCCTTCCCCATTACTGCTGCTCTCCTTCCCCATTACTACTCATTCTTACTCCTAGGGGATGCTATATTGATGAAGAGACTGTGGAGCAGATAGGCCTGCTCTACTATTTATTCCCTGAGCACATGAGGTTCAGGTACTACCCCAGTGGATGCTGCTAACCAAAAGAATCTGATCTTGCACACTTGGGACACGTGCAACAAAGGTGGAAACTCTGTGGGTCACAATCTTGAAAAGCCATAATTCCTTTAGGGCAAATAAACCATTCTCTTTGTGCCTGTTTTCCTGCTTCTGCAGGGAAATAAGATAGATTGGATGTGCCAAAAATAAATATTAACCATATTCTGCCTATTTACCATTTCCAGTGCTTCCATATTGGCAGTGTCTTCCTTAATAGTAATATATTATACTAAGTGATCTAAATCATAGTAATATTAGTACATGAAACACTAAAATGGAGATTCATTATTTTTCTACTGAAGAAATTCTTTTTCCCAATACAACAGAATATCTTTTTAATAAATCATTTCCAAAGATGAAGAGTAGAAGCTGAGTGTTCAGTTCAAGGATTCATAAATACACTTTCAATTATACCCTTGTTTAATTTGATCATTTTATTTAATAAAATGCTTGATTCTTCGACACTTATGCTGAGTAGTGTAATACTTTCTTCATAATCCCATTTGAATATTTGCTATGCTGTTTGCCAGGTAATGTAGTACTTCCTATAAGGGTAGCAGAATTAGGCACCAAATTATAAACCACTTTAGGGTGGGGTGGAGTTATTTTTGAATGAATGGATATTCATGATGATATGAGGTGCTGAATTAACAGAACTGGAGACTAAAGACCTCTAAAAATCCTAATATAAATTTCCATACATGCTGTCCTACTTCTCCCGTGTTGCTCAAGACCACGTAGTAAGACCATCTAAAGACGGAGAGGGTATTGCTGCTTCCATATTCATTCAATCCTCCAAACAGACCTAGTCCAGATTGTTTTCTGTCGACTAAAATATGAAGGGCTTAATACTGTATCCCATCACTTGTGAAGTGAACCATCTGTTCATTGCATTTCTAAAATTTAACATGGGGTGTAACATGGGAATGTTTGTAGAAGGATTTTTGACTAAACTAGTAAAATCTTCCTTTCTTTCCAGTGCGCTTCCCAGGAATAAAAACATATATTGATCCTGACACATATGAAGACCCATCACTCGCTGTCCATGAATTTGCAAAGGAGATAGATCCTTCAAGAATTCGAATTGAGAGAGTTATAGGAGCAGGTAAAAACATGCAGGCTTGCAAAGCACATTCATAATCGGTTCCCCTAGACATAGACAAACTGCCTTACTCAACTAAATGCCATATGGTGCTAATCAAATACTGTATCAACTGTGTGCAGAGTTTCCCAGAAGGCAAGGACACTCTGAGAGCTCTCACCTGCAGTGCTAAAGTGTCAAATTTAAGCATATGCCTAAAGTGTCCCTCTTGCTATGTATATTGGACAAACTTCTCAGACACTTCACCAAAGAATCAATGCACATAAAACAGACGTCAGGCTCTCTCACAGAGAGAAAACTGTTGCTTGCCATTTTAACCAGACTGACCATTCTTTCAATGACCTTAAAACATGCATATTGCTTCAAAGAGATTTTAACTCCAGACTTCAAAGAGAAGTCTCAGAGCTGTCATTCATACTTAAATTTGACACTTTGTGTACGGGTCTTAACAAAGATGCTAATTATCTCACCCATTACAAAGATAGCTTCCCCAATTATCACCCCTAATGCCATTACCTCACAGACACTAACCTTCCCCCCTCATCTCTCCTCTGTTCTTAAACCTGATTCATCATTTTTATATGTGTTCACTTTTTTTTGATTGTATCACTTTGGTATATATGGTTGTGCCAATTTTCTTCCACATATTGATCTGAGAAAGTGGGTCTGGCCCACGAAAGCTCATCACCTAATAAACTATCTTGTTAGTCTTTAAAGTGCTGCATAGTCCTGTCTTTTGTTTCAGCTAGACCAGACTAACACGGCTGCATCTCTATCACTAGGTAATAAGGTTTGTCTACCTTAGGAGTTTTTGGTTCTTTCCCCTACTTATGCAGTTTCACCTGAGCATTTTTCGTTGATTCTGGACCACTGTGGTCATCTAGTTTGATCTATATAGAAAGGCCATAAAATTTCCCTAAAATAATTCCTAGAGCAGGCTTTTAAAAGCATATCCAATCTTCATTTAATCACTTTGTTATGCAGAATCTGCCATGACTCTTGATAAATTGTTCCAATGGTTAATTACTCTCATCGTTAAAAAATTACATCTTATTTCCAGTCTAAATTCTCTAGCTTCAACTTCCAGCCTTTGGATTGTGTTATTCCATTCTCTGCTAAGTTGAAGAGTCCATTATTAAATTTGTTCCCCTATCACTACTTAATAGATTGTTATCAAGTCACCCTCTTGCCTTTTTGTTAAGATAAATAGATTGAGCTCCTGGAGTCTATCACTATAAGGCTTTTTTTTCTTATCCTTTAATCACTCTTATGGCTTTTCACTGAACCTCTTCAACTTATCAACATCCTCCTTGAATTGTGGACATCAGCATTGCCCCTGTGCCAAATGTAGAGGTAAAATAATCTCTTTACTCTTACTTGAGATTCTTGGTCATGTGTCCCAGACTTATGTTAGCCCTTTTGGTCACAGCATCACACTGGGAGCTGTGTTCAGGACCCTCCCCCCCTTTTTTTCATAATCACTCAGAATAGAGACTCCCATCCTATAACTATGGCCTACGCTCATTGTTCCCGGATATATACATTTACATTTAGCCATGTTAGAACACATATTGTTTGCTTGCACCCAGTTTACCAAACAATTGTGAATGCTCTGCATCAGTGACCCAGACTCTTCATTGTTTACTATTCTTCCCATTTTTAAGTGATCTGCAAACTTTAGTAGTAATGGATTTTATTTTTTTTATCTTCCAGCATCATTGATAAAGATGTTAAATAGCACAGGGCCGAGAACCAATCCCTATAGGCCCTCTCAATGATGATTCCGTATTCAGTTACATTTGGGGATCTATTAGCTGAGCAGTTTTTAATCCATTTCATGTGTCTGTTAATTTTAAATTATTCTAGTTTTCTTAATTAAAATGTTGTGCCCAAATGCCATACAGAAGTCTGAGTATATTACATAAACATTACCTTTATCAGTCAAACTTGTCATCTCGTCAAAAAAGATATCAAGTGTATTTCATGAGATCTATTTTCCATGTTTATTTGCATTCATTAGGTTAGCCTACTTTAATCCTTTATTAATCAAGTCCCATATCAGTCACTCCACTATCTGGCCTGGAATCGATGTCAGGCTGGCAGCCCTATTCAGGAGAGCTAGGAATGGACCATAGATCTCCCAGTAATACTCTCTCCTGTGCAGTGGGTCACCCTGCCTTCTACAGGGGGAAACAATTAGGCTATTGCTGATTAGCATTCACGCACGGTAGTTTATACTGAGATACTCAGTTCTGCACACCTTTGATTTGCAATTAGAATCTGTCTATGAAGTCTGCACTAGTTTGCATGGTAGGCAGGGTAAGGTCACTTCACTATAAGTCACTTGCACAGGAACATAGCTTGCTGATGCTACAATAGACCAAAGTCTTAAAACAATATTATTATTTTATGTTTTGGGGAAATGACTCTGTTAGAGTTGCAGACATGATACCTGAGAATCAATGTGTGTAAAATGAACACAAGTAAAAATAAAAAATAGGTAAAGAACTGTTCAATATATGTGCTATATATAGTTTTCCCAGGTACACAGTCCTTCCAGACCACTGCCACCACATGCAGCTTTTACTGACTCCTCCCTTAGTGGAACTATTTATACCACTATTTTTGCCCCACTAGCCTGAGACAATTGCCATAGCCTCTCATATTTACTCCTATGTGTCTTTTCTGCAATGTAGGTATACCGTCAGAGACAGGAACTCCTGAGTTCTCATCCCGACTCTCAATCACTTTTCCTTTCTGTGCTGATTTATCTCATCTGTAAAATGATGACGACAGATAATTTTTGCCTGTCTTTATTACAAGAATATTTTGAGGTTATGTTACTATTTCCTTGGATGAGCTATGCTGCAACTATGTCAGCATGCGAGTCTTATGTTACCTAGAAGATGGCTTTTTTTAATTGGACCGAAGTCCTTAAATACTTAGGCTTAGAATGAAATCATATACTTTATTGGGTAGTCTAACAACAAACTTTAAATTCATGTACCCAGTTCTGTTCTTACTGAAGTTACAAATTTTCCATTGACTTCAACAGGAATAAGATTAATCCATGAGTGAAATGTATACAACACGGACAAACATACAATTAGAACATCTGTCTTATGTATATATGTTTTGGTTCCAACTAACTTGCATGTACAACATCTTTTTCACATCATCATAGTGCCTGCTAAGTCCTTTTGACACTTCTTGCAAGAGATATTCACTTAATTTTTCTTATAGAATATATTTTTAGTGAGTAAAAGGGAGAAGGTCATAATGTTGAGCTAGCCGACAATAACTGTATGTTTGCAGAGCTTCATCTTCTCTGAACATCTTGAAATATTGTGGGTGAGTCATGTTACACTATAAAAAATAAGATGTTAATCTGGAAAGTTTCCAACAGAGAAAGATGAGTCAGAGCAGGGCATAATTATGTTTAGACTCTCAGATTCTAAGTAGTAATAGGTCAGGCACTTGAAAAGAATGGGAAAATTATTTTATTTGGGGGAAGTGCATACTGTTAAGTTTCCCAGTCTGAACTCAGTCACTCAGACAGAGCGATTAAGAGTTCTTAGAAACACTTTTCTACAAAATACTGAAACAACGGTGCTGTGCCCAAAAGGCTCTTATATACCATTACACTCTGAAAATATCCATAGAGGCAAGCCCAACTGAAAAAATACTGAGGATGAAATTGGGTTCAGTTCCTAGCAGTTAACCTGAGATCTGCACTGTCAGACACAAAAACCAAGAGCATTTCCCAAAGGGCTTGACGAACTGTGATTTATAACATTTATATCGGCAAACTTACATTTGTAGTTGTATTTATATGCTACAATGGTAGATGCCATGAAGATTGAGAAATATTGTTAATGTATTTGTCTTTCCTTAAGTGTCTCTTCTCTTTATGCAGTAGAATAAGATTCAGTGATTTATTCATATTTTATTCGAATATTGCCCTTGTACTCCAAAGATGAAAATGTATAAGGCGTCTTTTTTTATACAGACGTGGATATTTTTGTCTCCACTACATTTAGATTTGACTTATCTATGTTTGTTAAACAGAAGAGTATCTGTGCTTTATTTCTTTGCTCTACTCTTGTTTTATGTGTTGTCTTTCGTTATCCAGGAAAATGCTACATTTCTGCACTTGTTTTATTATTGAAAAGTGAATGTAAGGGTCTTTCACCAGGTCCTAAATAAGGCACAACTGTCAATAACAGGTACTCAGGTCTGTGGCAGCATGGAAAAAGTCTGGATTGTTTAGGCAGTTTTCTTTCCAGAACAGTTCCATTAGTCAAGATTAAGTGGATTATTATGGGAAGGTATTTTTTCTTCCTCCTCAGTACAGATTGATCGAGCCCATACATCAAAACTAAGAAAACAAAAACCTTGACAGAATTTTGTAAGATTTGGTTTTTTTAACTCAAGTTTTCATGACTATGAAGCATAGGGTTTAAGTAAGAGTGATTTTTTCATTATTAACTGTTCATTGAGATTGTTTACATTCTGTGCTTATCAAATTGTTGACTTTAGGGAAATGGTCACCAACCAGTAGATCAGGATCTACTGGTAGATCTTGGAGCCTCTGACAAGTGTTCTTGACTGGTTTGGCCAAGAGGCTATCAAATGCTGGCACATCAGCTGCCCCCACTGCTGTGCACCTCTTGTCCTTTGCTTTGAAGCTACCGCCTCTCTCCTCCCCACACACAAGCTGGGCTGGGCAGCGGAGAGCAGGAGGTGCTGATGTCAGGGTGCCCCCTTCTTCCATCCTGTATTCTATCACCACAGAACAGAGGGTAGGGCACAACAGGTCTTGGGATGGAGGGAGTTTGCTGGCTGCTTTTGAGTGTTACAGGGCCAGGGCAGGGGTAAACCTGCCTTAGCCCCACTGCACCAGCACCCAGGAGCCACCTGTGGTAAGCAGTGTCCAGCTGGAGCCTGCACCTGAACCCCAACCCTAGTCATAAACCCCCTTCTACACTCCAAACCCCTGGCCT